GTTGGGCAAGCCCATAAGGAGCTTCAACAGTCAGCGCGGAAGCGCTTCAATAAAAACAGAACAATGACAATAATAACGACCAAAACCTAAACCTGAAGAGTTGGAATGGCAAAGGGGGATTGGCAGTGGGAATGGAAATGGCGGCAAGTGAACACCGGATATCCAGTCAGCGAGCAAAGCGGGGAAGCCTCAACAAATGTCAATTTATCATTTCCGCTGGTGAGGCGACGCAAATTGCAGAGCTTAGGAAATGCTTTGCGCGCCTGTTTAAAAGGCATTTTAACAGGGCAAACACGCAGACATTAGACCTACAGACACACAACGACACCCACACATCACCATCATCCATATAAATGGGCACTAATGGCCCAGTTCCCCCCTTTTTAAGCCCTACCCTATAACATTTGTGGTATGCATAATATACTCTCGCTGTCTTGGCGCCGACTTTCTTCAATTTGTGGCCATACTGGAGTCGGACACAGATATTAAATATCATTCGGGCACGCATTTCTGGCATTTGTCCGGCTCTTTAATGCCGCCCCAGTGTCCAATTTTATGCATTTCTTTCGTGTAAATATGCCCGCTGCCACAACCCAACCTTCCCCACACAATATTCATATATTTGTGGGCAAGGCCATTGCCAAAAAAAAAGTATTTTTAGGCCAGGATAGAAAGACTGTATGTCGAACAATCCTCTCCCCCTCTCCCTCCCTCTCTTTGTCCGGCGCCAAATTGAAATTAATGCGTTGGGCCAACGCGGCGGATACGTGTTATTGGTATGGCTGACTTGCCGAACGCCCAGGAAAACCAAATGGACTGTGAACGTTCTGCTAAATTTGAATTTTAATGCTTTTGGCTGGTAAAATTTAACGACTCTCGATATCTTGGCGTGAAAATATTTTATAGTTATTGATTTTTTTTCAGCCTGTCAACAGGAAAACGGAGCATGAAAAGGTGTTTTCTTTTTATGTCTTTAAAACGATTGGATAATAAATGTAAGTGCTGAGAAATAAAGTTTTATGTCTTCTATATATTTGAATATTTTATAATAAAACAATTTAAGCAATGTAGATATAGGAAATATATATAAAATATTTTAACCGGTGAGGTTTTTAGGACTTGTATTAATTTTATAAAATTTTAATTTTATAAAATTTTAATTTTATAAAATTAATCAGAATTTGTAGGAAACATTTTACATTTTAAACAAAAATAAAATACTTTATTTTAATGTTTGTCCAATTAAATCCTTGCCAAATCGTCCTTTCTAGGCATTTTATTTATTTTTTATTTGTACAAAAATAATCAAAGGCAATAACAAAAACTGGAATTAAAAACTTGACATATTTGTTCTCCTAAAAAAAGTCAATTACAGATTGCGCATTCATTTAATTTTTTTTTTTATCGAATTTATATAATTTTAAACTTACATAAACCTAATCAAAGTTAATTACAAAAATATGCAAAAATAGTTATTAAATGAGTGATTTTATTTCCATTTTTTCAGCTTTCCTAACCCCTTCTTTTTTTTACCTAAAAACATTAATTAACATTAATTAATTACCTAAAAACATCATTAACATTTTTATAGCATTTGTAACACCTTTTTACTAGTCTTTCCTATTAATATTTCACATTACAAGCTTAATCATATTTCATAGAAAAAAAACATTAAAAATCTTTATAAAATTTATTAAAAAGAATAAAAAAAATGTATACCTTGCCTAATTGAATTCTTGACTAACCCTTGGCCACACCAACGCCTAGCCACTCACTCACTCTTACCCAACAGCTTATCAACAGGACACACCCTGGGATAGGAATTGCGCTAATTAGACCGACAACAGCCACGCACATCATCAACATGACTACCTTGCCACCTTGCCACTAAGAAACAAGCCAATGCCGCACCCAGCTTACGGCAAGTGTAAACAGAATACGTGTTTCCACAGAAAATCATTTGCTCAATAAATCAAATTGACTGCTCGGCATGGCCAACTAGAAAACCGTATTTACTCTCAATTACTTGAACATTAGCAGGACATTTTCGGGGGCAGCAAACAAGTTGCTACATAATAAACCAAGTGGGAAAAGTTAGGAATGACTTCTCAAGAGCGAATTGAAAATGCCTTGGGGCTTGTCAAAAAATTTAATTAAAATTATGCAAATTTTTAGCTATAAACGCAAGTATTAAGCTAATATCCTTATGTCCTTGCCTTATGCCTTTGAAGGAGCCCGCAGTCTTTTTAATCTGCCGCTAAAACTCGCTTTTGTGCGCGGGAAATCGGATTTTGATACTCTTATTTGGGGGAATATTAGATTTTATAATGGGAAAAGAAGTTACTTTAAAACTCATTTAATAAAATATTTCCCTAGTCAAGGAAAACATTTCAAAACTAGAACTAGAATTTCTTGCTAGCTTAAAATTTTAGATTGTGAAATAAATTGAAATCACTTTACTTGCTAAATTATTAACACGATAATCATACCAACTTAACTAATTCAGCCCACCTAACAACTTCCAACTAAACTCCTAGAATGTCCTTTAGAGAGCATCCTTAAGTGGGGATAATTCCTTATTGCTCGTTTGTTTGTGTGTGTGTAAAGTTTAATTGCTTGTCCTTAGCAGGAACAACAAACACTGGATGGCACTTATTTGCATTTCACATTAGGACAAAGGCATCAGAAAAGGAGCTTTGCCAGGACTTAGCATGTCCTGTCGCCTTTCCACTCTAGGCTGTTTGTTTAGGCTTATACTTTGCATGAGTTGACATCTTTATTGGCAATTTATGTCCCTCCTCGACCATTCGCAATTCGCAGGTAATTTTCCTTTTTGGGCGTGCCCAGTTCATAAGGAAATGGAATTAAATGGGACTCGTCATCAACATTTCTTAATTAGTTGACAGGCCACAGAAAAGCTGAGAGAATTTACAAAGTAAAACCAGTTACGGATTTATGTTTTTTAATTTTGTTTTTCACTTGCTAACGAAATAAAATTGAAATACAGCCGACGTGTTTGTAATACGAAATGGAGGGCCAAAAAAAAATAAATGGCGTAACCGAGCGGCAGTTTTATGGTTGATTTGGGTTTTCCCTTCTTTTCTTTAGTTTCTTTTTATGTTTTATGATGCCACGCCTTTATGCCTCTGCCGAGGCAAATCAAAAAAGTTTGAAGAGCGACCTAAACTTTATAGTAAGTAGCTTTATGGTAAGTAAAGAAGATAAGGCAGATGGTAAATATTGATGGAGCACTATAACCCAAAATGAAATTGAATATTCAATAGTCTTGAACTCATTAAAAATTTCTCAAGTTGGTTTGAACTTTCAAGGAAAATTTTACGCATCACCAGAAATTTTCTTCAACTTCGACAAAGCCCCAATTAGCTCAGCGAAATGAGGAAAACCCCGAAAAGAGCAGCTGCCGTGAAAAACCCATATATATTTTCGTAAATTAAAAGCAGTTAGCAGCAGGGAAATTGCTAAGCAATAATCATAATTTGTGGCATTAGCAGGGAACGAAAATTTCTGGCTAACTTTTGCCGTGCAACCAGCCATTGATAAAGTGTCGCTATACAATTTATCAGCACTCCGTCCTGGGGGAAAAATGGCAAATGAATACCATGAAAGGGGCGGGAGGAGAGTAAGAGAGCAGGAAAATGTGCGGAAAACGGCGGCTAAACAAACAGTTACTGCCACTGCTGCTACTGCACCTGCCACAAGGGAAAGCAGTGGTAATTTATGAGTCATTCTCTGGAAACGCTGTGTGCTCTCGTTTTGGCTTCGTTGGTTTTTCATATTTTCATTATTTCAAAAAACAGCAAATAAACCGCACAAAGTTCTCTGCCCAAAAAAGATGAATTAAATGTTTTCGGCACTCCTTTTTTCCCTGTTTTGAGGTTTGCAAATGGCATTACCCGAACTTTGAATTCGACTAAAAAGTTATTGTGGTTAAAATTTTAAATGAATTTTTAAGTAAATTGAATAAAATATTTGAATATGTTTTCAGAAGAAGAGAATATTAAATTGCTGGAAAATTTATATTCTTTGTGTTCAGAATCAACTTACATATTCAATTACTAGAAGCAACCATTGTTCTGAACAAAAATTTATTCTGCTTCCAACAACCATTTAATATTCATTTTTATACCGAAATACTATTATTTATATATGCAAACTATAATCCCCATTGACTTCCACTCTTTAAGATATTTTCTGCTCTATAATACATATTAAAAGCTTTTTCTTTTGGCCAATGTAAACGTTATTAACGCCCTACTCCCCGATTCATATGTCGTAAACCTAACTTGTGCCCCCAAAAGCAGGCTATGGAATTTGTATTATGATATTGCCCATATCGCTGGTCATAAAAGAAAATTCCGGCTACGCTTATTAGATAACATAAACAGGAGCATGAACTGCGTTAACATGCATTAGGAAGAAGAAAAAAAGAAAAGCCCAAGCCCAAGGCAAAGGACCGGCCAACGAGGCGGCTACTTAACAAAGTTAAGGATCTTACACAAATTTGCCATTGGCCATTGGCATAAAAATGCTTGCGGATGTAGTGGCTTGTAATTGAGTGCAGTGTATATACACACAAATGTATACTTCTCTTCACAGTTAAACAATTCATATTTGCGACACCATTAAGCCAGGGGTAAGGGAAAACTGTGAGGGGAAAATGGAAAAGTGCGAGCAAAAAGGCAACTGCGATAACGATGTACGCCCAGCGTGTTGATACAGTAAATAATACTGAAACCCCTGGTCACAGGATTTCCTTTCATCCGCTCACACAGTACACTCGGAAAAAATAAATGTTAATAAATCTGATTTATGTTACAAAATTAATAATATTAAATATAATTAAAGAATTGAAATTTTTTTCAAGGTTTATCTTGCAAAGTAAAATATTTCCGAGTGCATTCTCACCCACACACGCACACCGAATGTCGAATAGGTGTTAATATGAATGTATTGGCTATCGGAGATTGAGCGTGCCTTACCTTCATCCTCGTCGTCGTTTAGCTCCGTGATTGCCGCCTTGTCGCAGGGACGGTCAATGCCATTTGTTGCTTCCGACTTGCCACTCCCACCGCCCACACCGCCGCCCCCATTGGCGGCCTTTGCATCGCCATTGGAGATAATTGAATTTGATTTGGCGTGATTTGAATGATTGTTCGCCGACGACTTGGAGGACTCGCCATCCAATGGAGGAGCACTTGGCTCCGGTTCATCATTGCTGACCGCATCGATGGCGGCGCCATCCTTGGTCTTCAGCTCTTGGCTGGTGTTGCAGCCCATCTTAGTGGATTTTTAAGATTTGGATTTGGCAATTTAGTCCGTGGCTTTTTGGTGGGGTCTCTCCGCTTCCAGTTGGCCTAGGTTACCCTTATTTTGTTTAATCAATTGCACACACACACAAACTCACTCACATACATACACACACCACACATACACACACCATTCAGTTGGAAACTAGTTTATGAACCTTAACTTGTTGTTTCTGGGCCAATTTGCACTTTGACTTTCACGTAGACGAAACCTTCTTTTTTATTCTTTTTGCAATAAAATGTTTACAAAAAATACGCTGTGCTTGTTGGTTTTTGTTCGAAAAATTTGTTTACAAAAGTCGTTAGAAAAAGGTGCACAACCACAGGTTACTAGCCAAAGATCTCGCACGGAACCGGAAGCGGAAACCAGCTAAAATGGCAGACTCGCAGCGAAACTGACTGTCTCTGGCACAAGCTCAGGCACAACTGACTTTGACACTGAACGGCGCCGGCGACGCGTCCTCACTGCGGATGCCACGGACCCCGAATGCCCAACATATCTCCATATCCTGCAGGAGCTGGAGTTTCGAGCTCAACAAGCAGCGAAGCGTCAACCGGCAGTAGGCAACGACACACAAAGCCCAGGGAAACAGAGAGCCGGGACCATCCGGAGAGAGAGAAAATGAGAGAGAATGCTCTCTCGTAGCAGTCACAGTGGGCTGAGATGCTATTTATTGCAAGTTAATAGAACTTATATTTTATAAGAACTTAAATTTAATTATTATTAATTAATTATTTAATTTAATAAATTATAAATATACTTAATATCCGAGAAATGTAGTAGTCCCAGCTTACGAGCTGTCGTATTTCGCTCTCGGTAATAAGTTAATTAATTAAAACACTTTTTATATTACTTAAGTTTCTTTTTCCTTTAAAAATTTAGTAAAATAAATTAAATTCCACTGTTTAATAACAGCAATTATTAAGGACTCAAAAAGAACCCAAAAGAGATTCCGAGAAGAGAGTGGCTTTTGGCCAGGCGGCAACGGTAGCAGCTGCCTCTGTTTTTGTTAGCCAGCTCTAGCTGCAAACTTTTTCGCAAATAAACAAACCGATGGCCAAAGCCGACTCACAGATACGCACGCACACAATGAGGAGTACAATGTGGCTTAGAGGAGCCGCAGAAGCCGTTGTGGTGGCAGCAGAATCCGAAGAGCGGCAAAGGCAGCCATGGCAATGGCATCATCATCGAGAAAGCAATGGCCACCGCACAAACACACACACACATATATACTAACGCAGGCCAAAGGACTCTCTCACACACATACACACGCACATTGCGTGTAACCGGGCGTAAACAGCTGAATGAAAGCCCAGCCAAAGGGAATGCAAATAAAATAAGACCATTACCAAGCTGCAAAAACCTGGCCCATAAAAATATCAATGAATACGTTGCCGCTCCTTGAAGCATATATATACACCGATTCATAAAAACCAACTAGCTTATATATCTTTTCAGCTCAGCTGTCGTCTGGCTTCCTTTTCTGTTTCCTTGCTGTTGGTACTTTTAAATTTTTGGGAGTTGGCTCTTCGACTTCGTTTGTCCCAGAAAATCTGCGAGAGTGTGCGTGTGGGACAAATGAATTGGTTTGGCTTTCATTGTGGCTGCGGCTCCTCTTTAGTTTCTGCTTTGGCTCCCTGATTATCTTCAGCTCTCTCTCTCTCTCTCCCTCAATAACATTGCCAAAAACTAAATTGCTAGCATTCAGGGGGGCTGTTTTTAAATTGAGGTTTGAAAAACTTCTTTAAAAAGTGTAGAAAATGGAGAAAAATTAAAGCCAAGAAGTCGAATCTAGCCATTAATACTTAAAGATTGAGACTTTTGCCATAAAGAATGTAATAAAATGTTTAAAAAGATTAAATTTATATTAAAGGCGTACTATAGAAGTTTAAACTGAAATGAAAAGATAGTTTTGTGAAATCCATAATTAAATCAAAATATTAAATTTATGGATTTTAAGACCCAAGAAAGTGAAATAAATTTAAAGATATATTTTTGAATATTTTATTTTGACACTAAAAGAGAGAAAAATATTTCCATGTTACATTCAAGCCATCTTGTAGAAAACTTTCTTCAAGTGGAAACCATTTCTTACCTTTAAGTATATACCATAATAATAAACCCAAAGTGCGTTTAGCCTAGTCAAAGTGCAAGCCACGAACAATCGTAAAGAGCCGGATATGTAAACCTTGAGGCAATTTTAATCAAAACTTCCCTTCGTTACCCACAACGTAGGGCTGTCACATACAAATGTTATTATATACAGGTACAGATGTCTGAGCATATGCAAATTAGCTTCACATTGCAAATGTGACGTAAAAAGGCAGAGTAAACAGTCCGAAATTGAGCAGAAAACAGAAACAGTGGAGTGAATGGTAAATATGTACCAATAACAGAATGCTCTTTTAAACACAAACATCACAAAATAATAATTAAAAACAGACTCATTTAATTGAATTTAAATGTCCATGGAAAGTAAAACCTTGACCAAAGCTACAGTTAAGTTCATAAAAAAAAACGGACAGAAAAACCAATTTGCACAAATTAATTGAGTTAAAATGGGCATACATCCCACCAGGGCTTTGTTCTGTCACTCTGAATTTCGGATTCATATTTAAAATGAATTTCCCAAAAGTACAGCACCGAATGAATATTGATAGGCTAGGCTAGGAAACTATCACAATTTGCAAATAATTCTATTAAATTCACCACAATTTCCATTTAAATTTGATTAAAATTCTGAGCTTGAAAGATGCCAAAAAGGCCAACAATTAAGTGCGAAGAACCAGCATCCAGCTGCGACTACCCCGCCTCCCTTTTCCAGTAGTTGCACTCTGGCAAACAAAAACAGGAAGGGTCAGGACAAGAGCCAAAACTTGTCGTTGCCTTTGAAAACTGATGGAAAAACAGGCCTTGAAAGCGTGAATTCGCACACCCCGAAAAATGTCGGAGTAAACAGAAAAGCCCGGAAAATTCATGGGCGAAAATTCCAAAAGTCCCTCGGCACTTGACTACTACTTCATGATGATGATGATGATGGCAGAAACGCGCCGGCGACATATAAACCCTTTCAGAGGCTGATAAAATGACTGACAACAGCGCTAGGCTCTAGACTCGAGAGTCTAAGGCCCAAAACTTTGCGCATCATTTGCCAGCAGAAATGCCAGGTCATTATGTTGCCCGAAAAAAGATATAAATAGCTTTGTTTTTCAGATAAAAATGTTTGGCTTTTCGATTTTTCTTCTGTGTTTTTCTGGCTTTTTCTTTGCTGAATGGGAATAGGGAAAATACGTATACGCCGCGTGGCTGCGAACTCTGGTATGCCCTTTGCTCTTTGCTCCGCCTCCTCCCAACTCATTTGCCGCCTCCTTACTTCGGGTCTATTTTATTTATTTATTTTTTTCTTTCCCTGTTCTCTTTTTTTTGCTACCCTCCCGAGACTTTTGCCGAATGGAAAGTTTTCCGCGTCCTTTTCAAGTCTGAAGTTCAACGGTGCGCAACAATTTTCAGGTCTACTAGAAAAACTGACAGCGAGCAGCAAATAAATTTAAAGCGAAATGCTGTATATGGTCTTGAGAGATATTGTACTTAAGGTTTTTAGCAAACAGAATCCGAATTTTCAAATAAAACAAAGTACTTGAAAAGAGCGGAAACTTAGTAAGAAATTTATCTGCATTTCCGTTTCCGAGGCTTAACTCCTCCGTTTCCGCATCTTTTTGTTGATTATTATTTTCCTGGCTGGCACTTTTTTTTGCAAAGCAATTTATTCACATTCCAGTCTCATTATTTATTCGACTTTTCACCTTGACCGTGTCCTTTATCTCACATCTGGATATCTGTATATCTGATGTCATGTCGGCGATAAAAGCGTTTCTTTTGTCACCTTCATTTGTTGGCCAACTTGATCTGCGTTTGTTGATTTCCTGGCAACAAGGAAAGTCGCTAACGGTAATTGAATTGGCCAACGAAATGATATATGTACGGATATTCTTTGCTGTTCCCCTGACAATGCCAATTAATCATACGCAACGTTGAAAAGGCGTTGGAAAGAAATATCCATCGTACGTGTGATTTAATTAATTTCGTTTTATTAATGATGAACAACGTTCGGAGTTTTTATTAGGAAATGATTTCAAGAGCTGGAAGGCAAGTTCATAAGAGAGAGCAGCCTATTTCTCTTTAAACATCCTACATTTTCTACCACTTTGCCTTCTGTTATTATAAACAAAATTGCTTTCTTGTGGAAAATTGTAGAAAAACTTTAAACACTCATTGCATGGATAGCAGCATTCATATCGGATAACCCAACTCTTGGCCAAATGCCAAGCCAATATTAACCGGGTATATGAGCAGACAATAGATGGCCAAGGGGGGGTTGCTGTATTGGGATCCGTTCGGTTCGGTTTGTCTGGCAGACAAGCGGCAAACCAAAAAATGACAGTTCGGATGTCAGGAGTGCTCGATGTTGACTTTAAAATCACATTCAAGAGTTCGCTCCGCACACTCAACCGGACTCGTATAAGCAGTTCAATTACACGACTCCCTTGCTGCATGCATGCACCGCCTGCCACGCCTACCTACACAGTGAGCTCACCCCCATCCGGCCACCAATCCACCACCCACACGGCCATGTTTATTGAAAGGTTACATGAATGACACACACGCCACAAAAACTGAAGCACACCCACACAGACTGACAACGACCGCAGACACACACTGATACAGTGGCGTTCGAGGGAGTTTCTCAAGGGTTTGTGGTTTTTGGAAATGGATACTCATTTAATTATATTCTGATTAATTCATTGGTATATAATATAAGGCAGTAAAAGCATATCATTTAAAAGGTTTTAATATATATCAGTTTTTGATATTTATTATTAAGCGGAGAAGAATGCACGCCGCCCCTGCATCCATCTCACACGCATAGGAACATTTGCATTGTCGGCTGGTATCCCCTTTGATTCGTTCCTTTTTGGTTGCTTTTCATTGCATTAAGTGAATGTATCTGCATGCATATGCGACACGACAATAGCCGTGTATTTAGGGCGGTGGGAAAATGGGAGCAACCCGCTGCCAATTGCAACAGACGCCGCCGTCTGGCAGCTCGTTACGTGCCATCACGATAGACCCTCCTCCCATTTTCCGACCAACTCCCATCCGGAGTATTCCCAAATCGAAAACCCCCTCTTAAAGACCTGTTCGTTCTGATTTAAGTTTGATTTTTTGTGTTGGGTCATTGCCTACTTTTTGGGGCCCACGCGCTTCCTGTGTTTTTTTGGTATTTTCGGTTAGCCAACGCTCAGACTGCTTGATGGATGATTTTTGGCCAATTGATTGATGTACGAATTTTACAAAGTTGACAAAGATTTCAGGTCCGACAGGAAACGAACAGCCACGTGGTCTTTTTGCGACAAAAGTAGCCACAACATTAATGGGTTAATCGTGGAATGACCAACCCTTGCAGAAAAGTTTCTTTATTTTTTATTTTATGCACAGAAAGGAAATAATAAATCATCGAATCAAATAGTTTATAAAATGAAAATATTTCCTTATCCTTTTTATTTGATTTTTTAATTTTAATGGCTTTTAAAACTGATGTTTAATCTTAAAACCCCAACAGGATTCGAACTATCATTTGATGTTAATCAAAAAGCAAAGCTCCTTTTTTATTTCCGTGCATAAACAAAGCAATTACTTATCTGCCCCCACAGCCATCCTTCACTGGGATCATTAAAAATGTATTACAAACTCAATTCCATAGACATGCATTATATTTAGAGTTATGGTTCCACATAAACATGTTTCCCAAACCGTTTAACGATGTCCAATAAAAGAGTCGAACCCTGTGGTTCGAATGATTCGGTTTTTTATGACTTTAACATGGCAACCCCACTCTCCACTATCTACGTGGCCAAAAAGCGTTTTTAATTAACAATTACCACATCAGGACAAGCCCAGAAACACGTGTCGAATTCTGTGGGCTACCTGTGGGTCCTTGGGTGCCTGAAATTAAGATAATAGCTCAAAAATTAAAGAGCTCTCCCTTGGTAACTGGCCACCCCAGCGAAATCAGTGTGGTGAGGGTCTGTCCGTAACTGACTGTTGTTTCTAATTTTGGAGCTACTAAATCCACAACATGAAAATGGAAAATATAGAAAGCGAACCAAGTAGACCGCACCTAAACGCATGACGCAGCCAGGAGCCTTCCTTTTTCCTTCCCCCTTTAAGCTTAAAAACCAACGGCCTGCATTTTAATTACGTTGTTCTTTACACCTTAACGTGTTGAAATGCCATAAAAGACAACAAAAGCAACTACGCTGACAAAAGGGGAGCAACAGCCAAGTCGTGAAAAGGCTCAAAAGGCAAAAGGAAAGTGAAGCAAAGTGGTCAACTGGGTACAGTTAAAGATACCCTATAATACATTTTGTGACATATTATAAGAGCAAACCACTCAGCTTATGAGGTAACAGAAATTAAGTATACAATATGTTGTCTTTAATTTAACTATTTTAGGGTTTTGGGAAACATTCATTGGAACTAACCCAAATAAGTTATTTGGAAACACGAATATAATATTTATTCAAGGGTATTTCCATGTCCATTTCCTAGGAAAAACAAAGCGTGCCTGTGCAGCAATTAAAAGTAGCTATTTGCTTTCCCACATGGCGGACTAGAAAATCGCCCGAATTCCCCGACTTAGGGGGTGTGGAAATGCCAGTGTGCTGACCAGCGTTGACTTTTGCTTAGTGAGCGTGCTTGCCACCATTTTGGTTGCCTTTCTGATTCTGTGTTTGCCTTTTTCTGTCGAACTGTGTGGTCAGCTGTGGTCAATGATAAAAGCGAAACGATAATTTCCGTTTCGTGGACCTGAACGCAAAGTGACCATTGACATGCAAATTTCCATTTAGGTTGAATTTTTCTCTGAAAACACAAAATAGAGTCGCATTGCTTGTTTCGCACCGGTTGAAGGTCAGAGTTCATTGGCGTGTGCAGCTCGAATGTTAAAATAAAAGATGCATCTATTATGCTTTATGATACGCGTTATCTTAATGAGTTATCCCACGCGTCGCAGAACTTGGTTGTTTTTGATCTAATTATCTTTTACCTCAGGATATTTTAATAAAAGCTATTTGATAAAGGAACAATCGTACACTGAAAATAATATAAAAAACATACTTTAGTTTTTGGTTTATTATTAATACTCATAGAAATTTAAAAAAAAAACTTATGAAAACCTTTTCTTCCCAGCAAACAGCTCTTAGGACTTAGGGTAACTCAATTACACGTTCCTTACACGTCTCCTGGCTTAGCGGCGAATGAAAACTCCAGGCCACCGCCCACCTTGTGGTGTGTCCCTGATGGAATTCCGTAGTGCTGACATTTGCCACCTGCCGCTCCTTCAGGTAGTCCAGTACCTTTGGCACGTTGGCCTTGACACCCAACATTGTGGTGAAGATTCTGCCACAGTGAACGAAACTAACGTTAATATAATTTCAGGACCTAATCAAGATTGACTCACCGTACGCGCTGCTTGTTTTCCAGACTCTCGTCGATTATGCGTTGCACAAATTTCACTTCGCCACCTGCGCAAGTGAGTTCCTCTTGGCTTCCAGTTCTGGCATTATTGGGTGCCGGACGTCTTTCAGGATTACGGGTATTACTTCCAAAGGGATTTGGCAAGTTTGAATCGAAGAAAGGTGGATTGCAGAGGCAAAAGTGGTACTGCAGCTCTTGTTTATCTTTATCAAAATAGCTTTTAAATATATTAGTTTTATCTGGTTGACCATAGACTTCTATAAGAGCTTCTAGTTGGTTTCTCTTCACATTCTCTCTGGCGTATTCTATATTTTGGAGTTTCGATTCTAGGGCCAACATGTGCCAACCATTTTTCTTAGCTCCCAGTAAAGAATAAATGCACGACGAACCGCAACCTATCACAAATGTTGTTAGTAAATCCTTTAAACTTATTCAGCCCTTACTCACCTATATCTATTCCCCGTATTTCCTGTAATTTCAGGGGTTCCAGTAGATCCTCCACCCATAAAATGTAATTTAAACGTAGCGCCAATGTGGGCACCAGGCTGCCAGGTGCAAAATCTACTTCTAAATCGAAGTACTCCTTAAGCAGCATTTTTGTTAGCTCTCGCAAAGTTTGTTCATTGCGAAAATCCACAAAGACTTTGCCATTAAGCTCCTAATTAAATAAAAACGAATTAACATACTTTTTTTCACAAGGCAAAATAGTTAAAACTTACCAATTCACACTCTTTGCGAAAATCCTTGTATTTAATGGCCAATTTGGTGTAGTCTGGTGCCTGGCGTAAGACATTGCGAGGATGCATGCCAAATTTATTGGTATTCCCTTTAGTTTTCACCATCTTTTTATTAAAAATAATTGAAAAAGTTTATAAAATTATATGCCGCTGAAATTCGAACAGCTGTTCACTTCTTTAGTCTGGCAACTCTTATTCTGCCAACAGGAGATGTCACTTTACCGATAACTTTGATTACCAATTAAGTATTATTTGGTTTTTTCTTAGCATCAGTGAACGGTTATACTAGTCAAGCCACTTGTTGATTTAAGTTTTGTAAACAATAACAAAAGATTCATGTCTTGGCCGCAAAAAATACTAATAACCTACGACAACTTTACAGCCGATTTGCCAGATTTAAACAATGACAATAAAACAGATAAATGTTCCGCTTCGTGTAACTGCAAATGCAAGTGCTGCCATGGCTTCTATGAGAAGTACGTGGCATTCGATGGAGAAACCGTATTTGGTTCGAAATTCTCAAATGTGCTTGCCGGTGCCGAAGATGTCCACAAAATGATTCGTTTTCGTAGCTCTGATATGCTACTGTTACTAAGGACAGCGCAAGCACGAGATAATTTTTGGAACAATCAGTATTACAAGGTTAACTTGCACGAGGATTATCAAGTTATTTTAGATGTTTTTGAAGCTAAAAATCAGAAAATTCAGGTGGAAAAGCTAGCGGCGATTATGGATACAATGAGCACAGGCTATCGACGAGCAGTAAGCCAATTGAAAGGTCAAGAGGCACATGGAGCTTTAAGACCAAAAAAGGCAGCCATGCGTCTAGCTGGATTGCGTTGTGACTGCTATAGTTGCGAGAATCTTCCCTGGAAAAAGATACATAATGTGGAGGATCATCAGAAAATTCATAACTATTCGGACAACTTTCATTGCGAGATTTGCTATAGGCGATTTTATCTGCAGCACTCACTCACCTCTTATACCAGCAGGAAAATAGGAGGGAATACATTCACCTCAGAACAACTCAAAGAAAATACTCGATACAAAAAGTTACTGGAGAATCAAAAGTCAAAGGAGAAAAAGGATTTGCAGTTACCACCGGCCAAAGTGGAGGGTATAGTCGTGCACGTGCCCAAATACTTGAAGTTGTCCTTCAAAGAGGAAACTAAACCACCTGTCCAGAAACGCAAGACTTCTAAACTCACCAATTGTCCACTTTGTCATCAGACATATAAATACTCATTTAGCCATCAGTTACATATGCTTAAGCATAGAAATCCAAAAGATAAATCAGATCCTAAACTCTTTTTCCCCTGTTCCTATTGCGATCGTTCTTTTCTCACCCGTAAATTCCTAAAGAAACATCAAAAGTCAATTAGAATAGCCAGCTATGTACAAAATCGTCGTTTTAAGTGTCCCAAATGTTCATGGATATTCCACCTGTCTACCACGCTTCAATCCCACATAGCCAAAAAACATAAACGTAAAAAAAAGTGTTTAATCTGCAAGAATCCCAGTTTGGATCGATGTTGTGATGCACACTCCCTCAAGGAATGCCGGGATGCCATCAAAAAGCATCGGGATAAGTTGCGCCTAATGAGAGGGCCACCAAAAGGAGTATATAAGAAAAAACCAAAACCATTTTGCGAAATCTGTAAAAGGGAGTTTACGAATAAGTTTTTCTTCAGGGACCACTTGAACAAGAAACATTTAAAAAGAAAGAATTTCACCTGTGAAATTTGCGGAGCGAATTTCTACAGTCGAGCCACAATGCAATTCCACAGAAAATCAGTTCATTTTTTAATCTATACAGTCAAGTGCGAGGTTTGTGATCTTAGCATTAAATCAAAAGCAAACTACCTGAGGCACTGCAAGTCACAGAGCCACAAGGATATGCTGATTAAATTGGGAAAGGATAAAGAAAAGTCCCAAGAAGACAATAAGAACTCAACAGAAACCAGTCAAATAACATCACAATCTTTGGATATGGAAACGAGTACGGATAATAGTACATTGACCGAATGTAAATCAGCAAAAGAAAGTGATGATGGAAAACAGACTCAGGTGAAAAAAGCTTCTAGTATCCACAGAAAAGTTCATTTCTGTGAACCCTGTGGTAATGCCATCGTCGGGAATATGCAACGCCATTACAGATCGACTAAACATAAGCATAACTTGATTAAGTACAACAACAGCAACGAATCACAAACAAATGTTTTAAAAAAATAAGTAGGTTTTATAAGAGATTACAAATTTTATGGCAGTATATTAGGCTTAAAAATACGTATTGGTATGTTTCATTTTTTTTATTTAAAATTTTAGAAATTATTGTTCTAGATTTTATGTTAAATTTTTTTAAATATACTAAAATCGATAAAAGTATTATTTGTACACTGGTTATTTCTTCACCGCGCAACGGTCACTCTAAACACTATTTTGGCAAAACAAAACACATTTTTTATAAAACTCGGCTTCATTTAAATAATAATAGTAATATCAATTTATAATGTCGGAAACTAGCTCCAAGGATAATGTCAAGACGGCGATGACGTATATTTGCGGTGGTAAGTTGTGCGGATAATATACTTTAATAAAAAAAACCATTTTTTCAACACGCACATGGCGGCTACTATACCAACAAAAACTAAAGGATATTTTATTAATATTTATACATTTTTGACAGAATGCCATCACGAAAACGAAATGCGTCCTAGGGATCCTATTCGTTGTCGCGAGTGCGGATACCGTATTATGTACAAGAAACGTACCAAGCGTCGTAAGTAATCTTTCTCTTGATCCCCAGCAGCCTCCAATGATTTTCAAACTGTAATCATGAAATTTTTCGTTTTTCTTGCAGTTGTTGTCTTTGATGCCCGGTAAAAATGAAAAATTAGATGAAACCCGTCTGAATAATAGTCTTAAGTAATAGTTTTTAACTCAATAAAGCTGGGGCTTAAAGTAAAAGTTCTCACATACATTAATACTTACTGATTTTTTATAACAATGATTTTTAAATCAAAAATTTCAAATTTAAAATGTAGATGTGTGGAAGCTATAATTTTAGATGGGTATATAACTAGGAATATAGTATACACCACCGATGTTTATGTTTTTAATCAAGCAACCATAGAATCCAACCCAAGATTTATTAATAAAATATAATCCCAAAATCAAAGAAAATGAATTAAAAGACGTTTCTGTTTTATATTTTAAACTAATTGTATTTTATTTTGAATGTTTTGGAAATATATAATTTTAAACTAAAAACACTCACATTACAGTTATTGTAATTATACCTTTTATTTGTTGCAAGTTCATTGCTTAAATAAAATTTAAAGTAATTCGGTTTGTTCTTTTTTGTTTCCTTTCTTATAAATGTCTTTTTTCGTCTCAAAAATTTTGTCTAAATGGCTTGTCATCCAAAAATTTACTTTACTTAAGAATTTTTCTCTTCGTTTACGCTTTAGTTTTAGTTTTTTGTGTAATAAATTTACGTTTTGTTTTTAATTTACCACATTTAGCAAAAACACACATTTTACACTAAAATTGTTTATACCTTTATTCATATATATCATATCTTTCCCCGACACTTTTCAGTCAAATATTTCTTGTTCAGTGTGGTAAAAAGTTGTATTCTATCCATGTTCTTTGAGTATTTTGTAAGTTGTTCTTGTGTTTCCATCATGTTCTTCATCTCTCCGACTTTCTAATCCTCTTCATTCTTTTCTGATAAAATCATGAAATACATCTACACAGTATAGTAATATAGTTTTTGTTCATTTTCTTTTGTTAATATTTATAGACGTTTTCTTTCTTTTATCCTTATTTAAAACTTTTCGCTTGAGAATGGTTTTTGTTTTTTGTTTTTTATGTGGGCATTGTGGGCGTGACTGCTGCTCCAAGGAGGAGTAACTAAGTAAATCAACTAAAACTAAATATATATATAGATATTCACGTTAAAGCTTAAATGATAAGTAAGGCAAAAGGGTTCGATGAGGTTCGAGTTTGCAGTTCATAAATTAATCCATAAACTAAGGTAACTATACGACTAAATGCTAGGTGTAAAAAGATGGCAATCATTACTTTTAACTAAAACTGAAGCTTTGTAAATGGCAAATTAAAGCTTTTTACTTCACATTTTCATTCAATCGAATACAAAAACAAATACCAAATGGATGAAATCAAAGGCTGGGGTACACATTTGATAAATGCTCATTCCAGGTTAAATTACTAAATAGTTAAATATCCGTGTGTGTGTATATAAAGTGTTAATTGTGAGTGTATGTAAGGTGTATTTGTGAGATAGCTCAATAGTATAACTAAGATAATGAAATTCACTTGCAGTCGGCTGCTTAAACGCTTTCGAGACCGTTTGCATGAATTGTGTTTGTTTGTTTTTTAAGTATTTTTTGTTTGTTTAAGAGAAATCATATTTCAGGTACATCACAACTTAAAATTTAAAAAATTAAATGCAATTTTTTAAATGATTTTCAATGTCAAATGCCTAATGCACTCCATATATGGCAAGCAAACATTTTCTAATCTTAAGCGAATTAAATAGAACCGAAAACTACACGGCCACATTTAGCATTTTTCCGCCTGTCCCCGTTGCATCCTCTTCTGCAGAGCTGCCTGCAGCTTTTCTCTTTTACCCGCTAAGGATCCCTTTTGGCCATGTCGCCAGTATTTGTGGAGAGCCAGCGATCCCAGCGTATGATAACTAAAGCTGATGGAACTGTTCTTTCGCTTCTGGTTGCACTTGTGACAGCCCAAACGTTGACGCACCATGCGATTGAGGTACTTGTCTCTCAGCAAAGTGACCACAGCCTCGGGTGTCAAGCGGATCTTTTTGGGCTGTGCCTGTTTGCGGGAGCTGGACTTCTTGCTAAAATCTAACGGAGCAGCCAGATACTCCTGCTGGCTGGCCGCATCCGCCAGCAATGGCAAAAGGGTGGCCAATTGGTTGAGGGACTTGCGGGAGGAATTCGAGGCACTGTTGCTGTGAGCCGGAGCCACCTTCTTTGGGCTTCGACGAGGTGTGCTGAGATCCAACTGGCGTTTGAGAAGAGATGTCACCGGCTGCGGTGGCTGAACCTTTGGAGCAATAGTCAGAGTAATATCCTCCTTGTTTCGCAGATACTCGATGTACTCCTCCGTTTCGCTGAGCAGACGACGACGTTTGCTCGGCGACATGTTCTCAATGTCCAGTTCCGGCTGTTGCTGCTGACCCGTAGTCGTGGCCGTGGGCAAAGCTGCTGCAGCAGCGGCCAGCATCAGAGGTGTCTCCGCCGCATAGTACTTGTTGATAATGTCCTTGACGTAGTTCTGGAACTGGGTGCCAATGCGATTGAGATTCTGGTACTCCATTTGGGTGAGGAACGGTGTCTGATTGGTGTTGCCGCTACCGCTGGGCGGTGATGATGTTGCTACTGCAGCTGCATCACTTGCTGCTGCTGCTGCTCCTGGCGACTTGGTCTTGTTGTTCTCCTTGTCATCCTGACGATGATGGTGAACGGCATTTCTGTGCGATGACTTGTCCTTGTTGTAGTTGTAGTTGTTGTTGTTGTTGCTATTGTTATTGTTGTTTAATTTGTACGCGGGAGACGATTTAATAAGCTGCAATCGCTGCTGCTGCTGGCTGTGATGTTGCTGGTTCTCTTGGTCCTCATCATTCTCATCCTCGACCTTGATCTTCCGTTTGCTAGCCAGCAGCTCAATGGCCGTCTGTTCGTAGTTGGCCGCCTCTAGAAATGCCGTTGCCATCATCGCCTTAGTGGGTACCATGTCTTTGGCATCCATCTCATCCATTTTCTCCAGCTTAACGGCATGACGCGACATCTTCAATGGCGATGTGGCGCTCATGTTGAACTCATCACCAGAGAAACTCGACGAAGAAGCAGACGATGGTGTATTCTCGTCATCCTCGCCGGTGGAATGTTGTCGCGCTCGCATACCGAACTTTTGACGCTGGGAACCGGAAATGGAGCCTGCAGAGCCGCCACCCATGTTGCTCAGGCTGTATAGCAATGCAGCAGCCTCTCGTGTCGTCCATTGCGAAGGCAGTTTATTGTTAAACAGGAGTTGATGATTGGCTGGTATTTTCAACTCGTGCACGCCTCCCGCCTTATGAAAATCCTGAGCGACCGAAGCGGTGTTGCGACTAATGGCGTCCATTTTTAGTAGACTGTAAGGATAAGGAAAAAGAAATCAGTTAGATTGGAAATATATTAAGTTAATAAATAAACAAAGGACAACAAATTAAGTGACAACAGAACAGCAAGTGTAGGTGAAAATCAGGGGAAAACTGAGTAAAAACCAATATTGAATTATGGTTACAATGATTAAATAGTGCAAAATCAGATAAAATATAAATTTAATGCAAAACAGTGCGGCCTAAAACCAAGACACATAAATTGAAAAACGAAGAAACAATGTAAAACTTGAAACGAACTTACAAAATACAAGAATAGGTTAACATTTTATTAATAAAAGGGCAATCAAACAAGTAAACTTATTAACAAATTTAAACTTATAAACAAAAAAAGGGATTTGTGAAAAAATGAAATGGGTGTAAGGGACAACACAAGCGATCTGAACTGGCGGAAACTTCAAAGAAAATATAAAACATTTTCCGGAACTTAAAAACCAACATAAACAGAACGAAATATATAATTTCTATAGAAAATTATATTGAAAATAAAGTTTTCCAATAGAAAATATTAAATCAGTGAAAACCAACGAAAGCGGAATGAATTTTGGTTATATTGGTTATGCAAATACCGCGCATAGTCCTCCGGATCGCTGCCCTCGGCCTCGAGGTACTGAAACAATCGCTCAGAGCCGCGCTTTTGCGTGGCCGCATTTGGCAATCCGCCGGTGAGCAGATCATGTGGCGGGATCAACGATCCATTGGCGCTTAGCCGCCAACCGACCATCGACGATGGATTCACGATGATCTCCTGTAACGGTCCGCCACCGGAAATGTTTCCGCTAATGCCGCCGCCGCCGCCACCATTGCCTCCGCCGCCGCCTGCCACGCCCTCATTGGTTGTGGTGGTGTAGATGGTTACGGCACCGCCGCCTCCATTCGCATTTCCCACATTGCCACTGGACGAGCTAACCGAAATGGTGGTGAAGTGGTGGGCGATGGTGATGTGGAGATGTGGTGATCATGGTTGGGATGTCGTGGGAATCGAGAGTCGAGAGAACGAGAGAACGAGGGTAGTAACTAGAGTTAGGAACGTTGTGCGCGCTCGGTTGGGTTTTTTTTTTTTTTTTTGGGGATGTTTGTGTTGGTTTTGTTTTCGGGAGGGGTTTCATATATTTTTTTTTTTTTTTTTTTTTTTTAGTTAATGGGGCAGGGCGGTCTGAGAATGTTACCCAAAAGCATTGCCGGCATAGGTGTTCAGCTGGTTGTTGGCCACCAGGCTGTTGCCAATAGTTCGCAGCACATTGAGGTTCTGGCTGTGGCTGTGGCCTCCGGCATTGGCATTGTTGTTGCCATTGCCGCCGCCGTTGCCGTTGCTATTGCCGTTGCTGCTGCCGCCGCTCTGGTTGCCGTTGCCGCTGCGCGCCGGCCGATTATCGTGCGGACTGATCAGATCAGGGTTATATATGGTTTAGATATAGAGAACGTCCGAGGATTTTTTTTTGGTTTTCGATTTGGGGGTAAGCAAGAGAAGTGGGGCGAAAGAGAGTTCAAAAGCTGTTTAGAGTTTTTCGTAATTCCCAGGGCAAACGAGAGGATCAGGCTACATTCGGATATCCGAAGATCTGAATACCCTTGCAGGTGGATAGTTTTTATTATAAAACTAAGTATGGGTAATACGATAAGTTACGCCTGAAAAAAGTAAGGAATCTTAGTATAAGTGACGTAATCTTTAAGTTCTTAAACTGGAAAAGTCTAAATAAAGCAGACAATCGGAATCAGAAATATATATATCAATACACCTTCTACTTTATCCCCTGCAAGGTTACAACAAAGGAACACTGTATAATGACGAATACTTACTGCACATCACTCATGTGAGCCTGGTACTCCTCCTGCGTGTCCGCTAAGTAGGAGCACTTGCTGCATGCTCTCTTATTGTGCACCTTGAGCACGTGGGTGGCCAGGCGTTCGGAACGAGCCGCCTTGTAATCGCAGAGCAGGCAAACGAAGGGCTTTGTGTGCGTGTTAAGATGTCGCTTGAGACCCCATTTATCCGCTCCGGACCACGGGCAATAGCAGCAGGTGAAGCGTTTCTCACGCTTCGGTTTCAGCAGACCAGAGCTGTTGCCACCGTTTCCATTGCCAGCATGACTGCCACTGCTGCCGGAGCTGGAGCTAGCCACCGGCTGTTGCATAACTCCCACATGCAGCGGTAAGACCACACCGCCGCCATCGTCCAGTTTCTCCTGCTTGAGCTGGGCCAGTGGCATGTCCGTAGCCGAGGCCACCGCCTCGATCGTCTCCACGATGCTCATACTGGTCGAGGTGGGATGTCGTTGGGCCTCCAAGAAGGCATTATCTATATTCACGCCCGCCGAGTTAATGGTTACATTACCACGACCGCCGGAATGATGAGATCCACTGCCGGAGGAACCACTGCCCGACGAGCCACTGCCCGCCGAGACATGTCGCCGGGTCTTGTTTATATCATACTGCAGTTCTCGATGCATGCGCAGGAAGTGCTTCTTGACATGATCGGCACGGTTGAACTGCTTGAGGCAGGCATAGCACTGGAAGGGCTTCTCGTCCTTGTGGATGTTCTCATGGCGAGTGTACAAATCCCGCCGATCCGTTGAGTAAGGACAGTGAGTGCACGCGTAACGCTTCTGAATGTGCACTCCATTCGCGGCTGCGGCAGCTGCTGCCGCTTGAGCGGCCTTCTTGCGACCACCGCCTCCGCCGGAGGAACTAGTGCTGCCGCCACTGCTGTTGCTGGGCGCTGAGGTGGGTGTGGATTGGGCCAGATTCTGGGCCGCATTGGCCGATGTCGAAGGGCTGGCGTAGATCAATTCAGCCGCATGCTCCTGGCGGTGTTTTCTGGGGAAGGAAAAAAGAGTTTATAATTTAGTCACACTCTTAGTAGATAATAATCATTTATATTAACTAGAATTAAATCTTTGGGCTCTTACTTGGACTTGGGTGTGCTCTGATGCGGTTGTTGTTGCTGCTGCTGCTGCTGTTGATTGACGTGAGCGTAGCTCTGGAGCTTTCCGCCCGAGGTCCACTGTACTAGTTGTGGTTCCGCTGTCGCTGCCGCCACCAGGCCAGATCCATCTTGCGCCCAGCGCTGTTGCTGCTCGCCGGCTTTAAGTAGGCCCGCCTGACCAGCTGCAAAACCGTTCTGCATCAGGGCTGCCAGCCCAAAGGCGGTACTTAGATGATCCTCGGACTTGAAGCCACCAACGGCTGCCACACTGGGTGCCGGCACCACAGTTGCACCACTGCTGGCCGTTACCACCACAGAGTTACCCGACTCCGCCTGTTGCTGCTGCTGTTGTTGTTGCTGGATTACATTGGCCTGGGTGGTGGCCACGTTGTTGCCCGGGGCGCCTGCCCCACTGGACTCGTATTCAATGCTGGGCGCTGCCGAGCGATCAAGTTGTTGCTAAGAGGAAAAAATTAAAAATTTTATTAATATAATTTAAAAATATAGCTAAACCACATAAATATTTTAAGACCATTTTGCAAGTCGTTAAAATGTGATTAAAATTAGTATATTATCTAAAAAAAAAAGTATAGTACTTAATGATTTGTTGACTTACCAGGTTCGTGAAGGAGCGCTGCTCGCCCTCGGGCACCGCTGTCGGCCCGCTGGTGGCCACCTGAGCCACCGGCGTGCCGAGCGTATGCAAACCGTTTCCGGTCTCCTCGCCGTACAATTTGCGTGTGATTTCTTTGAACATATCTTCGTATGTCGCCTCCACATTGGAGGATTGTCCGCTCGCTGCTGGATGGCCGCCGTTCACTGGTATTAGTGTGGCCATTGCAGGTGCTTCACGTTGCCGTCGGCCTTGGCTAGCGGGCGTGCTGCTGCTGCTTCTTTCAGGGGGCGGAGGCTGCTGCTCTTGCTGTTGCCTCCACGTTCACTCGCCGAGAACTGTAGAAAAAATAGAAAAGAAAGAAAGCGGAAAGACTTTTAGTACACTGGGAATATTTATTGTTATAATTTTATAGTATAATAAAGATTATATGTCATAATTTTAAAGGCAATCAATGGGTGAGTAGTTTGATTATTTTTTCATCGGAAATTCCAATAAGATTTAATGGATAAAAATTCTACTCAGTGGCTTACAATTATTGAGTTTCTTTCTAAGGATTTATGCGGAAAATTAAAACGGAGATTTTGCTTACGAAATGGACTTTATGAGAGGCTTTAATAATTCCAACTATCTTAGAGTCACATCCGGTACCAAAATACCCAGCGTCTCCCGCCAACGACGTCACTTATGGGAAACGAATGCTGCTGACACATCCAACTCTGATTTAATGGGCAAAAGGGGAAAGCAGCAGTGCCGGGCGGTGAAGGGGTGGTACCGGTCTGCCTTGGGGGGCGCTTGCGTGGGGGGTTTTGCTTTTGGTTTCGGTCGGGTATTTGGGCTTGAACTCGGCCTGGGCTTGGGTTTCGCTTTGACGTCGACGCAGCATCGCTGACTCAGCCAGACGTCGCTCTTTTGAGCGCGCTTTTTGTTTACGAATCTCAGATTTTTGGACCACCGATGTCGGGTGTCAGGTCACAAAAATAATGATAATATTTTGATTCAAGTGGTTGCAAGAATTTAGCAATTAAAAAAACGATTTTCAAGTACCATTGAACAGGAAACTACTTCATTAAACATTTCTTAGAGTTTTTATATGATCCTGAAGCAAAAATCATGAAGAAAAAAATATTTCCATAAAGTACTTCAACTTTTGACCTAATAAATTAGACAAGCTGACGAACTCGTCGCCTGAACCAGTTATTTAATGCACAAAAACGCTCACACACGGGGCTCTTTTTTTGGGGTCCCAGCTGCATATATTAATAAATTTACCACCCTGACGTGCCCAACTAACGAACCAACCCAAAAACCCATTGATCGTCATCCTCTCGACGGGTTTATCATCATCATCATCTTCATCACTAGCCCAGCATCGTCTTCATAGAAAGACAAATTGCCAACGATCGCGGCAATTTTTTTTTGGTGGCGGCGCTTTTGTTCTGCGGTGGGTGGGTGTGGGTTGTGGTAGACGGCCCACCCTCTTTCTTTACACTGAGAAAAAAATCTTATTAAATTTACTACCTTATACTAATCTCTGAATATTTTGATATTCCCTAACTTTGATAAAATTATAATAATTATTTTAAGGATATCACTCATTGTTTCTAAAAATTTTCAAGTTCCTTGTTTTTTGCTGAATAGTAATAAAAAATACTATTTTTCTGAGTGTTTATTTTTCTTGGCCACATGTTGCTGCGCCCTGTTTTTTCTGTTGTTGTTTTTTTTTCGAGAAGAAACTTTTTTTCTGCCACTTTGTGGCGACAAAATCGTCTGTTTGGTTTTTTGCTGCTGGGCCCTGGGCACGTTCTATGGCCCAGCGCCAACGGCTGCGCCCACCCACACACACCCACTGGTAGCCCCAACCCAAGACGCCTGGCTGCTAAGTCACCTACAGCACCACCAATACGAACACCACCATTACCATTACCACCCAAAAACACCCACACACCCACGACCGTTCCCAGTCCCGAGATCCGTTCCGATACGATCCGCTCCAATCCGATCCGATCCCCAGCCTGTTTCTGTCGTCTCTTTTCAGTTCATATTTCGTATCTGAGTTTTGCATATTTGATTTTTATGCTTCGTGTGCTTTTTACAGTGGGGTGTTGCTGGTGTTTTCTGCCTCCATGGGGGCGTTTGTTGTTCTTCTTGTTGATGTTTCATTCGCTTGTTTGTTTGTTTAAGTTCGAGTGTTACGGGAGGCCTAGGGGTTCGGAGGGGGAATGGGTGGTCTGTGGCTCTGAGATTCGGCTCGGGTCGGGTTGGGGATCTCGGGGGCTCTGCCCTGATCTGTTGGCTTGGCCTCACTCAGTTCTCTGCGTGTGGTTTTTCAAGCCAAGGGCATGTCTTTGTTGTTGCTTTTGGTGTTGTTGCCGCTTGACTTTGGCCACGCTCTCAAGATCATGCCGCACCATAACCTCCATTTCGGATATGGAGTTTCTCGAGAGGATTGAAAGTGCAAGTGTGGGGGGTTGTAAACCAGTTTTGCACTTTAAAGGAAGGTTTGAACTAAAAAAAAAGGTTTGAACTTAAACCTTACTTCCCTTAACTATGGATTTATAAGATCTAAAGTTTAATATCAACGGATAAAAATTTTTCAGATATTTTATATATGTGTTAATGTTTTTTTTTATATTATACAACACAAATGTTATTATACTTCTTTTTTGATAAAGAAAAATCTTGTAATCAACATGTTTCGTAATTTTATACATATAAGCTCGCTTGATAGCATTTCTGGGAATTTTTCAGAATAAGAGTTATTACTAATTTTAGCAAGATTGTGCTAGTCAACTCACTCGTTAAATTCCCAACCGTTCCCAAGATTTCTATCAATTTGCGCCACCCCACTGCCGCCCCCTGAATTGATAAGCTGCCGTCGAGGGGTCAACTGTTGTGGGCGAGACACAGCTCTTTAAAAAAACACAAAACAAAAAAAGCGGAAAGTGTCATGCGTTGCCAACAGCTAAGGCGCGCGTGTGGGTGCTGTGCCTCCCCCTTTTCTGATTTTTTTGCCTGGTGCTGCTGCTGGTGTCGCTGCTGCTGCTAGCAACAACAACATCCGCTTTGCTAATAACAGACGGCAGCAACAAAACCAACAGCAACCGGGAGTGGGCTGAAAATGGGCGAGCAGGCCAGCAACAAAATCAATTTACAACAACAGAGGCAGCAACAACAGCAAAACACCACGCGCACATCAGAACAGCGATCAGTCGACGTTGACTTTAGCAGCGACGCAGACTGCGCAGTTGACGCCAATTTGTGGTGGGTGTGCAAACAGACGCCAACTTGGGGGAGTTGTGAGCACGAAAGAGAGAAAGAGCGGGAGAGAGAAACCGGTTGGGCAGCAGAAAAATGCCGGTTGGGGGAATTTTCGCTGCTTTTGGCTCTCACGTAATAAGTGAGAGCGCGCTTGATCGCCTGCGTTTTCTCTCTCCTCACCTTCGCCCCTCTTTTTCATTTGACAGATGTCACATTTTCGCTGTTAACGGTAAACGCATTATTGCCTCTCCCCTTTTTATTGGGGCTAGTAGGGTGTTTTTGTTGGATCTCTTCTTTTTTTTTGGTTTTTTTTCTTGGGTATTTGCAGTTATTATTTAAAGCCTAGGCTAATCAAAAGTTATTGCCTCTATTCGAGGGCGGTCATCAAAGTGCAAATTACAAAACTCACAAATATCCGCAATTACAGTGCGTACCCACTAAATTGAACTGGTGTATCCAGTACTAAAACTTTGGATTTTAAATTTGAAAAAGGTTTTCAGAAGTTGGAGTATTTAGCCCATATGGATATGCTTTGTCCATGATTTTCCCTTAAACTTCTTACCACTTTTTTCACAAGTTTAGACTATAGAAGTTTGCCTGTGAAGTCAAACACACACATTTTTTGAACACCCGTGGGTTGGGCCAAGCGATCTGGCAATCTGGCGACCTGGCAGCTCAGGGTGAGCCACAACATTTACTTGTTGTTGCGGTGAAAGGCCACAAGCGCGACCACAGAGGGGGCGGTCCGGTGGGTGGGGGCTGACGGGATGGAGGCGGAGTACCAGCAGCAGCAGCGGCAGAAACAACCAGCGGACGAAGCCACCAAGCTAATGACATGTTAACGCCACAATCCCTCTACTCAGCCACCCCTTCCTCGAATGTCCCCTCTTGCCGCCCTCTTATCCCACCTTTTGTAACCACCAACTTTTGCGAGCGACCAGCACGCAGTTATTAAAAAACGCTTTGGATGATGACGCACAGTGGAACGGGTGGAGCTGCAAGAGGCAGTTATTCGCCAGGCGTTGCAGCAGTCAATTATTCAATCGCTTGGAACTGGGAATTTTCCAGAAAATAATCATCTTAAGAAAATATCCTACTTGAATCGCAAATGCATTAATAGATTTTCAATACTGGAAACTATATAAAACACATTTAATTACAGCTTATAAATTGTTCTTAATTAGATGCAGAAGTACAAACTATTAACTTTTAAAATCTTGTATTCAATACGAGGCGAGGATTTTACAATATAATAGTTGTAGTAGTATTTTTGTAATACTATTTTATCTGATTAAACCAAAACATTTAAAAATTTCCAGAGACAGACCCAACCCACTGTGCCATTAGTATTTGGCAGCAGCAACAACTAATCATCAAAGTGGGTGGGTGTCTAGCAGCATAGCACCACCACCGTATTTCCAACTGACCGCAGCTGTCCCAATGATCCAACCGATTCCACAGACAGCAAAATAAAATCGAAGATTTTATATGCGAGCCAAATTAACACCAAACAGCAAAGCCAAGAGACACCAACAAAAGCCGAAGCTAAAGCAACGGCGACTGCCAACGGTATTCTCACTGTTTATTTCAGCTTCCCTCGTCTTTTTAACGCCCACAATTCAAAAATCGACGGTGACTGCGACGCAGGCGCAGCTGGGTGGTTAACATTGGTTGGTTGGGGAAGCAGGGGGGGTTTTTTGTTGAGGGGGTGGCGAGTGGGTGGGCCGCTGGGATGAGGCGAGGTGAGCTAAGCATGTGTGGGCCGCAGCTGTTGTCATCTATTGCATTCGTTGGCCAATTCGCTGCGTGGGTCAATGTTTCTTTTTCACGTATATTTCTGTTTGTTTTAAAGTTTAAACATAGCAATTTTATAATTTAACGTTCATCAAACCTATAATCTTCAACTCATCTTACCTTCTAAACAAAAAAACCCATTACTCATTAGCTGTTAACGTGTTAAGAGCAACCTACGTCATTAGTTCTAGCTCATTAGAAATCCCTGTAACTACAATCTTACAGAGATTCCTAGTACTAACTTGATGTTGATTGTTCTGATCAACAGTTTTTAGAAAAATCC